TGGAGAAGATTCCCTCGAGATCTGCCACTGAAGAATGTGTTGCAGAGCTTTTGGGTCTTGCTCCTCCCACCGGCATCGAAACAATCTGATGAGAAGATTCTTTAGCTTCTTTCTTCTGTTGTTCCTTTTCCTTACGTTTATGTGCTGCACAAGTCATTCTCTGTTCTTTAACCTCTGCTTGATGCATCCATTCCGCCTGCCCAGCAGCCATCAAGCCTAGTCCTTCAGACTGCTGTTCCACCTCTTTGTCACTCAAGGCTCTCTGAGTCATGAATGAAGATGAGCCTGCTCCCAGGACCGTATTATAAAATTCTTTAGCTTTAGCAACCATGTTAAGTCTATAACGTGTCCCCGCATGGCTCAAAACAATACCCATCGGAATCTCCCATCTAAATGGCATCACTCTTGTTTTAAGTTCATTAGTTAAAAAAGCAAAATCTTTTCTGCTTCTTAAAATTGTGGATGGGATTTCCTTTAAGATGATGACATCTTGGGCAGCAATCTGGAATCTCTTGTTATAGAAAGCTTGTAAAATCTGATTGTGCAGAGACTTCTTAGCAAAATAAATCACCACATCTCTTGGCAAATTCTTCTGTTTCGCAATCCAAGAGTTAGCTCTGTAGATTTTTTCCACTTCTCCACGTAATTCATCTTTATCTATATTCAAAACAACAGCTAGATCATTGATCACCATCTCCATCAGATCTTGATTCATGTCTTCTTTAAGACCCCTAATTCTCAAGGCATGTTCCATCTGTCTATACTGAAACATAAGAATATCATCTTGTGAAGTTTCCATCTTTGTTTCCATATCTTGGAATTTATACTCAAGAAAATCTACTTTTTCTGCGACTTCTTCCACGCTGGAGTCCAGCTTCACGACCACAGAAGCCAATCCAGATAAAGCTGAGACTATATCTTGCCTCAAAATAGTATTATTCTGTACAAAAAGCTCCTTCATTTCTTTCTTCATTTCCTCCTTACTTTCAGACTTGCTCTGTTCAAGAAGTTGCTTCACTTCCTCCCTAAATTGAGACACAGCATTTACCATTATGTCTTTAATGTCTTGTACAGACGAGCCTGATGGGGGAGGAGAAGGTGGAGATGTAGCCTTAGGTTGCTGCACCGGTGCTGTTACTTTAGGTTGTTGTTGAACAGTTGCAATAACAGGAGAGGAAATCACCTTAGAAACTATAGAAGCTGGTTGTCTCTTTGAAGCCATTTTTTAAAGTTAATCTCTCTTTCTTTCTTCTTAAAAAAAATGCTTAAATCTTTATAAATAAAAAAGACCAGGAAAAGTGCAATAAAAATAAAAACTTCCAAAGCACTTTAAAAGAAAAAAGAAAAAGAAACTTAAAAGAGAGAGAAAAAAAAGCAATGCTAAGCATACATTTCATTTAGTCCGTCTTTTCTTTCCGGAGATAGAAAAAAAAAACACTTTCAAAGCGCCATTTTACTTTCACTCTCACTTTCCGCCCGAAGAAAAAAAAAATAAAAAAAAAAGAATCAACATAAGCTAAAGAAAGAATTAAAGAAAAATAAATCTCTAACTCTAAATAAAATCCTTTAAACAGTTCTGTCCGCTTTAAAAATCACTCACCAGAAAGCTTTAAGCGCGGAGATGGTAGCGGCGTTTCACTTTGCTTCCGAGGAAACAAAGACAGCTGAGAGGCGGAGAAGGCACGAACTCCGAGGGAGCACTCTTTCTACCCCCCCCAAAAAAAAAATCCAGGGAAGATTAAGAGGTTCTACCTCTATTCATGCAGTCTCTACCCCTTCCCTTCGCCCGGGAAGGGGATTTCAAACCGCGGGCCAGCTGATGTACGCTGTGCTCCGCAGATCTGACACCGTCTCAGGAGGACGGCTACAAGGTAGCCGCCATCACTGTCGCTAACCACCGGAAGCTCCTCTACCCTTTATCATTTTTGTTCTCTTCTCTGCACATGTTCCAGGGTTTCAATATCTTTTTTGTATTGTGGTGATCAAAATTGGATGCAGTATTTTAAATGTGGTCTCACCAGAGTGATATAAAGTGATGTTATCAGTTCTCAATGTCTTGATGCTATCCTTAGGTTGATGCAGCCTAGAACTGCATTGACTTTTTTCGCAGCCGCAGCAAATCATTGGCTCATACTTAAGAAGTGGTCCACTAGGTGACTAGGGCATCCAGGGTGGATCCCTCTAAAACAGTGGTTCTCAACCTGTGGGTCGGGACCCCATTTGGGGTCGAACAACCATTTCACGGGGGTCGCCAAACAAGGCTGTTTGCCATTTTTCCCCCTTTTCTTTGGCCACACCCCTGGCACCCGGTGATGTATAAGTGGTTGGGGGTCACCACAACATGGGGAACTGTATTATGGGGTCGCAGCATTAGAAAGGTTGAGAACCATTGCTCTAAAAGGACTACTGTTGAGCCAGTACCACCTTTTCTATACTTATGAATTTGTTTTTTTCTGGCTAGGTGCAGGACCTTATGTTTCTCACCTTTGAATTTGTTGGAGCATTGATCCAAAGTTGAACTTGTTGGATAAGGCCCAATGCTCACGTCTCTCGAGGTCCTTGTTACAGGTGTTATATGTCCTGTTATATGCAGCTCTATCATTCATCTCTATTATATTTGTTTCCTATATCACATTGCTACTCTATGATCCATCTTTATTGTTCCTGTGATGCATTTCCCTGTTCCTGTAGTATTCTTGCTCTCTAAGAAATTGACTTCTGCATAGTGATGGCTTGTACTGTATTTACTTACTTTACATGAAACATTCCTTCTGGATCTTGAGCCTCAACTTCTAAAGTATGGGCTATTCCCCCTAACTTAATGTCATCTTCAAATCTGATGAATTTCCCATCTATCCCTTCTATCCCCTTGGAGTAAAAATAAATAGAGTTTAAAATACATAGTTTTATTCTCTTTAACAAGATCAAAGGATAGCGGAATAAAAATTCTAGCAAGTGAAATAATACGCTATGAAAATGATAATGAACCTTTTGTGGTCATTGTGTCAAAAATTCACAAAAAGTCTAACTTGACTCTGCTTTGCCAGTTAGATCTTCTGTCCCAGTCGCTGGTGCCTCTCAGAAAAACTGCCTATCTGAGGTAGATTGAAGGTCACACAAGACCTTAAAGAGTGGAAACCTTGGAGAATGCACACCTTGTTCTTGCATGTTTTTGGATGACCCAGAGACTGCATGAAAGAAGGACCCTCTTGCGGGATTTTCAGAGGGTCTGGAGATTTATGTGTCACCTGAGACATACATCATGACATTAGGGGGAGATTTGTAAATACTTCATATGTGTTTAGTTCTAACCACCTTCCCTCCACCTCCCAGAGTTAAACAGAGATGTAAATTATCCTTAAAAAGCAATCTTATTGCAATCTAGAACTTTTGTCCATCTGCATAGAATAGATCTAGAGTATGATGTCTACTTTCAGTGGTCTTCTCCTGACCATTCTGGAACACTATACTGAGTTGCCTAATGCAAGAACTGATGCTTCTTCCATCATGTTTCATTACACATAATCTCAGCTTCTGACCACAATTAGGACCAGAATGTCCATTGTTAAGCAAGGTGGTTGTTAAGTGACTCACAACCAATTTTATGACCTCTTTTGAGTTGGTTGTTAACCAAGGTCACTATTTTTAGTCCACCGAGACTTCAAATGGCTATTAAACTAATAGTCCTCTCCTCCTAAAACTCTCTCTTTCCAACCACTTACCCTCCCATCTGAGAATGTTTCTATGCACAAGCTTAGAAACAAAGAAAAAGACTGAAAAGGTAAGTGAATATTGGGAAAGTTTTTGTCAAAACGTTATGCGGATAATGAGAGTCTGAAAAAAGCAGGTAGATATTTAGTGAAAAAGAAGTAATGTCTAAGTCAGCGGTTCTCAACCTGTGGGTCGGGACCTCATTTGGGGTTGAACGACCATTTCACGGGGGTCGCCAAACAATGCAGTCCGCCATTTTTTCCCCCTTTTCCTTAGCTGTGCTACTCCCATTTATTCTATTATGAGCCGAGGTGGCGCAGCAGTTAGAGTGCAGTACTGCAGGCCACTTTAGCTGACTGTGTTCAGCAGGTCAGCAGTTCAAATCTCACCGGCTCAGGGTTGACTCAGCCTTCCATCCTTCCGGGGTAGGTAAAATGAGGACCCAGATTGTTGGGGGCAATGTAAATATATATATACACATTGCTTACTGGTGTACACCGCTTAGAGAGTGCTTGCACTTAAAGCGGTATATAAGTCTCATAAATAAATAAATATTGGCTTTTGAAAGCCAATAGAATAGACTCTCTTGAATAGAGTCTAATTCTATTGGCTTTCAAAAGCCAATAGGAATTGTCCAGGCTGTCTCTGCCTTGTGAGCCCGCCAAAAGTCCCATTCTGCAAACGGTGCTGCAAGTTGTCTGCAGCGAAGGCGAGCTGTCTGGAAGTTTCCACCCCTCCCTGCTGAACAACTACTAAAAATGTAAGTAAAAGAGGGCCAGGGGTGGGGAGGTGGGAGGTCGGTGGGTGCAGGGAGGGTTGCTGGCGTGTGTGGGGCCTGGCGGGTGCCTTACCTCCCTTGGGCTGGGCCAAATGGTGGCCCAGCCAGTGGTTGGCCTGCACCATCTCTGCCGCTTGCCAGCTACACCTCGGCCGGCGCAGGGGGTGGCACCACGCATGCGTGGCGCTCCCAGGCAGAGAAAGTCCTCAACTTACGACCAGTTGGGTAGTCCTCGACTTACGACCAGTTGGGGGTCACAGCATTAAAAAGTTGAGAACCACTGGTCTAAGTCAATGTATGGATGTAATGGACAAGATAAAATGCAATTGAGACATATAATAATTTGGTGTAAACTGGATTATAGCAATATTTCTTTTGCTTAGCTCAGGACTTTAAATCATTTTGTTAACTATCCCTTACTTTTCCCCCACCCCATGTTATGCATATTATTCATACAAATGGTAACAGTGTGATGGTAATTTAGATGCAATCCCTTACTATTTGCACTTACCTCTTTTTTTCCCCAAAGCGGTAAAGAAAGCATCCTCTGATCTATCAGAGACTTCCTGTGGGAAGGTGGTCATTCCTTCTTTTACAGCTTTGAATCCAGACAGCACTACTGCAAGGTAATGTCCAAACCACAAGGAGTATATATTTCCATATCGTTTTGCAGGCTGCCAAGTGAATCAAAGTTGAGAAATGTTACAATCAAATAAAACAGATAATTTATAGTTAATATACTACTTACAGTCTTTCCCAAATCCTCAATATTAATATTTTTTCAATTTATCCCCCCCCCAGCCAGATTCCTGCCAAGACCTTTTGTGCTTGTATTTCCTTTATTTTCCTTTCTCTTTGTTTCTGCTTGCAATCCACCCTCTCCTCTCTGTTTCCTCCATTGCCCCTTGCCTTGGATGACAGATGGCCTTCTCTCTGTCCAGTCCTCCTGCGATTGACAGGATGGTCTTCAGAGCCTTTCTCAACCTCTTTGCCTTCTGATTTTTTCAGCCATCAACTCTCAACTGACAGAACATTTTAGAGCACAGGTACCCAACCTTTTGGGTACCCAGGGACCGGTGCCATGAAGGGGTTGTGGTTTTGCATACTGCCTGCATCCCTCAGGTGGGGCTTTGCATGTGTGTGTGGTCCGGCTGCTGGCATGCTGCGGACTTGTGCGGGTCCATGGACTGGAGGTTGGGGACCCCTGTTCTAGAGACTTTGGGCTGCCCTGAATCTGATGGGTTGTAACCTGAATTAAAATTGGCCACAAGAGCAATACTAGTTATATCAGTGGTTCTCAACCTGTGGGTCGGGACCCCATTTGGGGTCGAACGACCATTTCACGAGGGTCGCCAAACAACGCAGTCCGCCATTTCCCCCCCCCCCTTTTCCTTAGCTGTGCTACTCCCTTTTATTCTATTGGCTTTTGAAAGCCAATAGAATAGACTCTCTTGAATAGAGTCTAATTCTATTGGCTTTCAAAAGCCAATAGGAATTGTCCAGGCTGTCTCTGCCCTGCTGAGCCCGCCAAAAGTCCCATTCTGCAAACGGTGCTGCACCAGTTGAGTAGTCCTCGACTTACGACCGGTTGAGTAGTCCTCGACTTACGACCGGTTGGGGGTCGCGGCATTAAAAAGGTTGAGAACCACTGAGCTATATGAACTATTGGGTAAGTTGTTAAAACAATTGATAAACTTTCTCCTTCTTTTGGTTCTATTTTTATTTTATTCAAAAGAAAAATTAAAATACAAAACTCAAAACAAAAAAAAAAAATCACCCTTGGAGAAACAGACACCAAAGATTTTTTTAACTTCTAAATATTTTCAAATTATTAACCTGTCATATATTATATGAATGACAAAATAGTTAACAAGAAGAACAGTAACAATCAAACAGGAAAGATTAAACTTTCAAAACCCTCTGTTAATCAACTGTTATTTTAATCAACTCATAGTATATCTATCATGACATCTGGTCTATCCCAAATCCTCCCAAGAGTTAACAGTGATTTAGCATGGATCAAATATCCACATTTATTTTTAATACCATCTCTCTTCAATTTTTGTCTGGTTAAATATAATAAATTCAATATCCAAAATTCGTCTATTTACCCAAAAGAGTCCAGATGAAATTTTTTTTCCAGTTAAGTGTGATAAATCTAGTAATAATAATAAAGTTGGAAGGGAACTTGGAGGTCATCGAGTCCAACCCCCTGCTCAGGCAGGAAACCCTATACCATTTCAGACAAATGGCTGTCCAGTCTCTTCCTAAAAACTTCCGGTGTTGGAGCATTCACCACTTCTGGGGGCAGGTAGTTCCACTAGTTAATTGTTCTCACTGTCAGGAAGTTTCTCCTTAGTTCTAGGTTGCTTCTCTCCTTGACTAGTTTCCATGTGTTGCTTCTTGTCCTGCCTTCAGGCGCTTTGGAGAATAGCTTGACTCCCTCTTCTTTAGGGCAGCCCCTGAGATATAGGAAGACTGCTATCATGTCCCCCCTCATCCTTCTCTTCGTTAAACTAGACATACCCAATTCCAGCAACCGCTCCTTATATGCTTTAGCCTCCAGTCCCCTAATCATCTTTGTTGTTCTTTTCTGAAACTTTATCTAGAGTCTCAACATCTTTTTTACATCATGGTGACCAAAACTGGATGCAGTATTCCAAGTGTGGCTGGCTGACCGGCTGTACTCAGCGTGTGGTCTTCGATGGAACCGCATCTACATGGAGGGAAGTGTGTAGTGGGGTGCCCCAGAGCTCTGTTCTGGGCCCAGTGCTCTTCAACATCTTCATCAACCATTTGGACGAGGGGATAGATGGGGAAACCATCAAATTTGCAGATGACACCAAGCTGGCAGGAATAGCCAACACTCCAGAAGACAGGCTTAAGATACAGGAGGATCTGGACAGACTTGAACACTGGGCACTATCTAACAAAATGAAATTCAATAGTGAAAAAAGTACGGTTCTACATTTAGGCAAGAAAAACCAAATGCACAGGTATAGTATAGGGGGTACCTTGTTCAATTGCAGTAACTGTGAGTGGGACCTCAGAGTCCTAGTGAACAATCACTTAAATATGAGCCAGCAGTGTGCTGCAGCTGCCAAAAAGGGCAACACAGTGCAAGGCTGCATTAACAGAGGGATAGAATCAAGATCACGTGAAGTATTAATACCACTTTACAATGCCTTGGTAACACCACACTTGGAATACTGCATCCAGTTTTGGTCACCACAATATAAAAAAGATGTTCAATCCTCATATAAAAAACCAATTTATCACTTCTCCCCTCAGGTAGGTTTGCTTTGTAAAAGAATTCAGTCTTGAACTTCATGGAGGTGTGTGCAATCAGCTAGCTCTCAGTCTGTACAGTCCACATTTCTTTCTAATGAATCTGCTGCTTTCAAGTTGCATTCCTTTTGTGAATCTAATTTATCCACAGCTACATGCATTTGAATATTTTCATCAAACCTTTTCAAAAACCTTTCAACTAATAATTGCATGTTACCAAACTTTTTTCAGATATCAGCCATATTCGCTGGTCTGTAATCTGATACATTGTTGCTCTGTGTAATTTAGTAATGATAGATGAGGGAACACAGGAAGCATTTAAGCAGAATGAAGGAGAAACCATCCTTCTATCTGAAGAATTGGTTCCATTATCAAACATTTCTTTGTAAGACTGAACTATAATCTGTCCCCTAAAAACTCACCCCCGTTTATTTCACGTCCTGCTCTGTGAAACGGTGGTGAGCAGGTCTTAGCTTGGATATTCTGGCATGATATGGAAAATAATTCATCAAGAGTCATCACTATATTTGATTAATTAAATTCCTCATCATACAAGAATATTTTACTAGGTTAATACATTTTTTATAGTTATGGTATAGAAAAAATAATTGAGAATTATTTCATACATTGTTGATTAATTATTTAGAATGAAATACCTCACGAAAATAATCTTCATGAAGCCAAATCCCGGAAGCCCACAAGGTCCCAATGAGAAGTAGAGCCAAAGGACCGGGAGGCAAATGTCTTTGGATCCAAAGTTGTCTCAGGAAGAAAAGAATCAGCAGAGCAAACAGCAAAACAAACAAAATTGTCCCTACAGCCATCATTGTCCAGCTGGTTCCTTTTTCTTTCTTTTTTTTTTTGATGCTCACTAGTGGATCTGGAGATGGTTATATCCCTTTTAACTGATGCTTTTTTCTTCCCACTTTATATACTTCATTGATGGGAAACAAATAGCAACAAGTATTTTGATGCTGTATCTCATGTATCTCATGGCTGAAGGTCCGATCTATGGACCCAGATAGATTACCTGAGCATGCTACCTTGCAATTGGGTTAACCAATTTTCAAACGTCTTCACAATGTGGATTCTCCATCCAAATCCCAGTATAATCTGATTTAAAGGCCAAAGAAGCTGTCAACGAGTCATTGATGTGGCTGCCCAGGAGGATAAGCTGTGAGTACTGTTGTTGTAATGCCTTCTCACTCCCCAGGCCTTTGACCTGGAGCTTAATGCAGCTGTGTATTGATTGAGGACTGGCTTTGGACTTTGTTTGGCGTTTCTTGGACTGAATCAAAGTAATGGGTATTGTTGGAACAACATGTCCAGTTTCTTGTGTTCCTGTTTGCATCTTGACCTCTGGCTCTGTGTATTGATTTAGGGCTGGCTTTGGACTTTGTTTGGCATTTCTTGGATTGAATCCTGTCAAGAGTTCATCTCGTGTGGGGTTTGTAACCTGGCCAGCTCATCATTTGGTTTACTACTGAAACTGTTGAGGGTTTTGAATAAAAAAAACTTTGAACTTTCCATTGTGAGCATGTGTGCATGAGTGGGGCAGCACAATGAGGGCCTGGTAGGAGGTGGAGAGTTGAGTCTGATTCTAATCCAGTGCCAGTCTGAAGGGGTTGCAGGTGTGGGAGGACACAGCAAAGAGTGTGTGCTGAGGGTGAAAGGCTGGTTGAGGCATAGTGAAGAGCCAACTTGGTGTCACAGCTGCAGCAAAGAAGGATGACAAGCTGGAGGGGACTGGAAGCAAGAACTGGCCCAGAGAGTCAACAGGGGCCTTGGCAGTGAATATGTGGCCCAGATCAGAGATCAGAGGCCAGAGGGAGCAGTGCAGTGCTCAGAGATCAGAGATGGATTTGGGGCCCTCTGTAAGGTGGTTTGGTGCAAGCAGCGGCATAAAGGTCAATGAGCTGGCAACTGGCATTGGAAGTCTGACTGGGGCTACAAATCTGCAATTGGAGCCCAGAAGCTGGCAATAACTTGAAGGAGAAGGCCAGATCCTCTGAAGAACATTGGTTGAATGTTGAATCATTTTTTCTAAACAAAGTCCAGAAAGAGATTGAAGATGTGTTTGGCTTCTCAGGGACAATTTCCTATCAGAGAAAGTTCCCCTATATCAGTGATGGCAAATCTTTTAGAGGCCGAGTGCCCAAACTGCAACCCAAAACCCACTTATGCATCGTCGGGTGCTGGGTGGGTGTGGCCCATTGGGTGGGTGTGGCCCATTGGGTGGGTGTGGCTGCGGTGGTAACGGCAGACTGGATGGGACTAAAAAGTTCAATCAATCAATTCCAACTTTGCAAGATCTTTTTTTCCCCTGTGAGTTGAAACTGACTCATTGATTGCATCTTTTTTTTTTCACACAGCAGCAGAGGCCTATAGTGAAAAGGTTTTATAAAACCCAGCTGAAGGCCTAGGACTCGGATGACGGCGCGTGTGTCCACAGAGAGGGCTTTGAGTGCCACCTTTGGCACCCGTGCCATAGGTTCGCCACCACTGCCCTACACCAATGCTGTGATTCATTAAACGCTATGTGTAAAATATGTCTTTCTAGATGTAGCTCCTAGGCAAAGTACAAAGGATGTGCAGTTGAGGGGTGATGCTTAGAATACAAATTCTAAATTGTTCCACAATAATTTGGAACATTCATGGAAATGAGGTATGCTACTGTCTGAGATTCTCCAGACAGGATTTCAGCTCTTATACCAGCCCTGACTCCAAGGCAGAGGAAGGGAGGTGAAAATGATCCTCTGGGAGAACTTGGTAGTATCAAGATGCTTTGTTCCATAGGTAGCTTTCTATGGGGCTCTGCATAAGGAATCAAGTATAAGCTGTGAGTACTGCTGACATACTGCCTTCCTCACTGTCCAGGCCTTTGACCTCATTGCCCTGATGTTGGTAAATACATCCAGGCTTATTATACTCCAAAATAACAATCTCTAGGCTCTAGGCCATCAGTGCAGGGTCTGAGTGGCTCAGAAATTCATGGCCACCAAGACAAAACCAAGAGGTTATCATGATACTCCCTCACACTGAGAGCAATACACCCTTGGTCTGGTTTGTTTCTTAATTAACATGTGATCTGAAGATCTAGGACATTCACGTCACTTGTGGTGAGATCATTTTCCATATTCCAGGAAGCTGGCTGCTAGGATCCAGCTCCCTGTTTCGATTGCATCTAACCAGATCCAACTAGTTTCCAAGAGGCACTGGGGGAAATATCCTGACAGGTCCTTCTACTTGCAATCTACTCAGTCTCCAGAATACGTGGATAACAAAGGGACCAGGCAGGATTAACCCCAAGGGGCCTCTTTCTTTGCATTGATTCAGAGGAAGATTTTGAATAAGAATTCTGGGAGAGGAATTTGCAGAAACTGGCAGAACTGGAGCAATACAGGTAGTCCTCAATTTACAACCACAATTGATCCCAAAGTTTCTCTTGTTAAATGAGACATTGGTTAAGTGAGTTTTGCCCCATTTTATGACTTTTCTTGCCTCAGTTGTTAAGTGAATCACTGCAGTTGATAATTTAGTGACCAGGATGTAAGCGAATTTGGCTTCCCCATTGATTTTGCTTATGAAAGGTCACAAACGGTGATCACATGATTTTGGGAGACAGCAATGGTCATAAATATGATCCATTTCCCAAGCATCTGAATTTAGATCACATGATCATTGGGATGCTGCAAAGTCTCCACTGTGAAAAGTGGTCATAGGTCATTTTTCAGGGCCGTTGTGTACTTTGAAATGTCACTAAATGAACTGTTGTAAGTTGAGGACTACCTGTACTGTCAAACATATTAGGGGAAGGTTGTAGAGAAAGTGATTAGGCTGTAGAGGGCTTCAGATGAAGCATAAGTTCAGCTCTAAGTGTGGGATGAAAGATGGATTGGTTGCTTCAGTGGATGTTCTGCCTTGGGGTGTGGATGGGAGCCACACTCTTTCTTCTCCTATTAATTCTCTCAGCATCGTTTCAACCCTTCAAGCATGGCATCCTTTTGGTCTATCTATGAATTTTGCCCTGAGTGGGGAACATGGTCCATAGCAGAAATTTAGTAAAAATGAAAAAGATACCAAAAAAAATGGAAAGTAATATGTTTTATTGGCGCCCAAAAGGAAACAAAGATAAAGCATGATAAGGTTAGTTAGCACATTTTTCAAACATAGTCACTGGTTGACCTTGTTAGGTACGTTGTGTGACCCCAGCAATAGGTTAAAGAAGTTTCAGTATTGAGTAAATAGAAGCAAAGCACAATATTAAGTGAATAGGTACATAGGAAACATTCGTCATACTGAATAACTATTCTGTAAATTTAATGCTTTTTATGGGGTTTAATTTTAAGCCTTTGTAGGAATAGCACACAGTTTGTAAGGATGTGGATGCATTGTCACATTTATAATAGGGGCTTCATGGAGTTCTTTCACTCCTTCAGGCAACCGGAAGCTGAAGGCCCTCAACAGATTGGTCAGAAAGATGAAGATCTCAATTCTTGCCAGCTGCTCTCCCACACATATGCGTTTACCTGTAGATATAAAAGCATGCATAAAGAGGATAATAATCAATTCTCCAGAATATATCCCATCAGCAAGGAAACGTGAAAGAAGATTGAATCTTCCTATCTTCTAGTATTACTTATTGATTAGCACATTTTTTTAGTACACAGGAACAGCTTTTGGAGATAATGCTTTGAATCTATTGATGTGGTTAGCCATTGGTCAAACTGCTTTATTAAAGCAGTTTATGAGCCCTGGTGGGACAGTGGTTAGAATGCAGTATTGCAAGCTAACTCAGGTCACTAAAAGGAATTTGATTACGAAAGACTCAAGCTTGACTCATCCTTCCATCCTTTCAAAGTCGGTAAAACGAGGACCCAGATTGTTGGGGGCAATATGCTGATTCTGTAAACCACTCAGAGAGGGCTATAAAAGCACTATGAAGCGGTATATAAGTCTAAGTGCTAAGTGCTTGCTATTGCTAAACAGAAATAGCGCCAATTTGAGCAGACCATCTATTTCTTGCTCAGGAATCTCTGACCACAAAGGCGATGGGCAGGACCAGGATACCAAATGCATAGGAAGGTTTTTAGTAAGGAGGAACACTATTGGTGATACTGATAAAGTCTTAGACTACCTTGCAACCTTTAACATGTAACCTTTAGCAATAGCAAAAACAATAGCGGTTAGAGTTATATACCTGTCATAATCCAATTATATTTCATCTCTAGTTATCAATTACAGACAACCCCATTTCTGCCTTCTATGGATTCTGTCATATGATGAAGGGAAGGGGGTGAACAAAGGGGCTTTATGGCCCTCACTTCCTTCGGTACACTTCAAAGGAACTGGACGTGGATATCACCAAAAGGACTAACCATAATAATGGGGCTATTACCTTTCATGTAGTTTTCTCTGAAGTCTCCATCCAGCCAGCAGTAAGGAAAAGGGGGTGGGAGTGTAATGCCTGAGACTGTCGCTGGAAGTAGGGGGTGATTGGGTAGGGCTACTGGGGAACCCCTTAAAACCTTGAATGGGAGAGCTTGGACCCAAGTCCTGTCTAGAACACCTGCAATCATTTTCTCTTAATAAAGGATGCCTGTTGGAAGAACTATTCCAAGAGTTCTGTCTTCTTAAGATGCAAAGTGGGGTGGGTCCTTACAATACCACTCCATTGGGCTTTACCGCACTCTTCTCAGCAATTTACACTGTCGGCATATTACCCCCAACAATCAGGGTTCCCATTTTACTGACCTCAGAAGGATGGAAGGCTGAGTCAGTTCAAGCTTTAGCTGAACTAAGGAACCCACACTCATTTTATTATAAGGTGGATGACATATTGAATAATTAAAACTGTCTTACTATGATCCTGAAGATGTAAGCAAGATGTATACTGCTTTTAATGATTATTTTATAATGATATGTATTTCCATGATTGGCATCATGGCAATGTCTGCTTTTCAAAATTACATCAAAAGGGGGTCCACTCCATTTTGGACTGATAGGTTTATCTATATGAAAATTATTATTTAATGGAAGGAAGACAATTGAAGAGATGTTTTATATCTGGATTGATTTAATAACTAATTGAATGTTAATCTAATAAGATGATTTGTTTGTTTGATGCCCAATGGATTGAAATGATCTAAGGTTTGATATTATTTTGTCAGCTTAAAGAGATTGATTGATTGATGGATTAGATATATTTAGGATAGATCAAT